TATGTATGTATGTATGTGTATATGTACGTGTACGTGTATGTGTCAATGTTCGTACATGTACAGTGTATATGTATGTATGCATGTATGTATGTATTTTTGTATGTATGTATGTATGTATGTATGCATGTATTCATGTATGTATGCATGTATGTATGTATGTCTATATATATATATATACATATATATATGTATATATATATATACACACAATTAATTCTGCAATGTGCTACTTCTACACGGTTCCAAAGAACGATGAAACAGAGATTAGCCATTGGTTGCAGACGAAGGAGCTCGCCACTTCAAGGTTGCCAATTTCGAAGGGGCCTTCAGGTTTAGGCTTTGCTTCGGGTCCACGGTTTAAACCTTCTCCGCATGGACAAAGTTGAGATGAACCGATTTTGCCCGCAAGTGCGGCGAGCTCATGAGGTGGCGGTTTGGATGGCATGACGTGATGATGTTGCTTGGATGGCATGATGTGATGCTGTTGATGCGAGGCTGTCTCGCAGGTTGTCGCGAGGTTGCATGGCATTGGTGTTCGTGAGGTTGGTTGGCGTTTCGTTGTTGTGAGGGTCTCTCATCTTTGAATTATCCCAAGCATGAAGGTTGATAGAGCAAGGATGCAGTTGACAGGAGGGTTTTAGTAGGGTTTCTAGAAAGGTTTATCTTATAGAAGAACTCATATATAGACGAGAGATTGCATGGATGGGTGCACGATTGGATGGATGGATGGATGAGATGATGTTCGGTGTTGCCTCGCTTTCGGACATTCCTTCTCTAGTTTCTGGAGAGTCTGAATCAAACCAGAGGAGCCGTGCTCTTCAGACAATCAGAGACAACATCCTGCTCCAGGATCCCATGCAATTGTTCTCCCTCCCTCGTGGAACATGCCAGTTTTCTTCTGGCCATCTTGGTCGCCTCTGTGTAAAGAATGCGGCTTGAGATCAAACTAATGCCACAAAGCCGGAAAAGCAGCCAAGCTGTGCCCGACACCCGAAATAGTGTAGAAGCCCGAAGAATCACCAACACTATTCCCTGGGGTTCCTCCCTGTAATTCTACTAGAATCTATTCGCCCAAACCCTGTACTCCTTCTGTAGGCCACCAATTGTGTAGTATACCCCCCGAAAGCCCTAAAGCCATATAAACCCTAATATAGAGGTTGTAAGAACCCTAAACCCTAAACCCTAAACCCATTGAAACCCATTGAAACCCATATAAACCCATATAAACCCATATAAACCATATAAACCCATATAAATCCATATAAATCATATAAATCCCTAAATCCACACCCCTGGCATCTCCCGGCCTTCGTGGGGCGTCTCGATGCTCGGCCGACTCAGCCCGGAGGTCCGCCGCGAGGAGCGGCGTCGGCCGAAGGAGTCTTCAAAGTCGGTCTCAGCACGCACAAAAAGGGGGGGGGGGCTTAAGGGTTTAGGGTTTAGGGTTTAGGGCCTTTAGGGGTTAGGGTTTAGGGTTTAGGGTTTAAGGGCCTTTTGGGTTCCTAGGGTCTAGGGTCAAAGCTTTCATGAAGGCTTCCTAGGTCGCCTGACTTCCGGGAATGTCCTGGTCTTGGAGGGATTCTCTGAGAGGCTCATCTTTGACGACAAGCACTCGAACATGGGGGGTTTCCCAAAATAGGGGGACCCTAATATAGTGCCCTAAATCGTAGGATCCTTATTATAAGGACCCCCCATTTTAAGGTACCCCCTTATTTTCGGAAACTCCCACATGAATGATGCACCATGGCTTTCTTCGACTCCGATAGTGCTGGATCAAGCCAACCTCGACGACGATGGTAGGATGCCGCAAGGTCCGCTCCATCTCTTGCGAGCGTCATGGAGGCACCATAACGGGATACCCTAACCCTCCAGGTACCTACTATACAGGGCCTTAGGGGCTCTAGTACCCCATATAGTAGGTACCTGGGGGGGTTAGGGATAACCCCGTCAAAGCTACGCTATGGCATGCAGCGCTTGGCAAGGTGCGAATTCACAGTGCGATGCATGCGATGCCAGTGCGATAGCTCCGTGACTTGGTAGTGATGGTGGTGGCGGTGGCGATGGTAGTCGTCTTGGTCGTGTCGGTAGTACTAGCAGTAGTACTGGTATAATAGTAGTAGTAGTAGTAGTAGTAGCAGCAGCAGTAGTGGTAGTAGTAGTAGTAGTACTACTACTACTACTACCACCACTACTACTGCTTCTACTAGAATAATAATTTAATAGAGGGATGCTGCAGTGAATGGGGCGGCCATGCTGCTGACATGCCTCTGGCGCCGCAAGCTGCAGAGCCGCAATTGCAGCGGGAAGTTTCTCTCATCACAGTGCCACCCTAAACCCTGAAACCTAAACCCGAAACCCTAAACCCGAAACCCTAAACCCGAAACCCTGAACCCTAAACCCTGAACCCTAAACCCTAAACCCTAGACCCTAAACCCTAAAGTGCCAGCAGAGTCTTGACCCGAGGCGCAATGCAGCGCACAGGAGGCCTGGAACTCTTGGGCAAAGCAGAGCAAAGAACTGAGAAACTGCTCACCATCTCATAAATACGAGAACAAATTAGAGTTTAGGGTTTAGGGCTTAGGGTTTAGGGTTGTGGGAAGAAGCTTGTAGACTCGGCAAGCAGTGGTACTCTGATGTGGCGCCTTTCATCGAATCAAGCTCCCACAACTGACGACACCCGTGTTTCCGGTATCTACCTTCGCTCTGAGTATGGGCTGTGGAGATTAGGACGGCGAGCAGACAGGAAGGGGTAATGCCCATGTCAACCCAACCAGCCCAACGAGCCCTCCATCATGTTCGTCCGGTTCATGACTGGCCCTCATGCGCTTTTTAGATCCGCTGCGGCTGATGATCCGCTCCCGATGCACCTGGCGCCCACAAGGAGTTCTACGGCAAATGGCACAAGCAAGAACGCAAGAATCCGCTGCTCAGCCATGGCTTCCCGCAAGTTCAGGGAGGGCACCACAAAGTCGAAGAGCTACTGTGCACTGCGTCTTATGCACACAGACCTATGCCACACGCAGTTAGAGCCTTGCCTCAAGTGAAGTATCGGTCTTCTCGGCCTGCAGCTTCGGAAGATTCGTTGAGAGGGCAAGACTTCCGTTTAGGGCCATGGGTCTCGAATTAATACAATACAATATAATATAATATAATACAATATATTATAATATATTATAATATAATAAAATATAATATAGTATAATATAATATAATACAATATAATATAATATGATATAATGTAATATAATACAATATAATATATAATACTGAAAAGTATACATTATATACTATACATCATACATTATACGTTATACATAGTATCAAAATATATAATATATAATGCATACTATTTCATATATAACATATAATCATATAATATATTATTATCAAATTATAGTATCTATATGGTCACATTTTACTTGGCACACGAAAGCTGCACGGCAACTGCAGGGCTTTGCGCACTTCACTGCTTCGCTTCACTCTTTGCGCCTGCAAGGGTGGCATTCTGGATGCGCACTGCTTCCAGGGTTTAAAGGGCACTGCCCCGCCGCGGCCATCCATGCAGGCTGCACTCGATGTCAAGCGCTGCGGAAAGAGTCGGCTGATGTCGGCTGTCAGTCTGCACGAAGGCTGCGCCATTTCACAGCGGGCCTCAGCTGTCCTCCGTAGCAGTGCAGCACCGGCGTGCTAGGTACCTTTCTGCTGCCGGGTACATTGAACCGACCCTGCTTTCATCGAATCCTCACTGCGCCACGGCGCACGAACCCTGACAGGCACTGCGTTGTGCAGATGCTTCCGTGAGTGAGGTTCTCGGGGGGCTCCACGCACCTCACAAAAGACACACCAGGTTGGGTGAGATTTATGGTAATACTTGGAATCCTCGCTGTGTTATAACTAGTTATCTTGGTTAAGTGGAGTTAGCTACTTTTTTATAACTAGTTAATCGGAGTTAGCTAACTATAGTTAACTATGTTTTTCTCGTCGGTTTTCGCAGTATATACTCCATCTAAACATATCGCTCAGAAGCGGTGAAATGTATAGAGAAACCTCTATAACAGCTGGCCATGTAGGCATTCTCATGCAGCTGACGTCATTTGTCTCAGAGTTTAAATCCCTTTTTAAGGACATATCGCTGTGAAGGTATAAGACAGTTTTGATATATAGAGCATGTTCATTCCATGCAGTGGCTGGCCAAGGACGGCGGCATACATGTTGGAACCAGAATCATGCATGGGCAGATGAAGCATGTTTTCAGAGCCTGCTGTATAGCTGGTACGGGATCAGCACGGTGGCCTCTTGGTCTGAGACCTTGCTATACACCAGTGGGTACTGGATGGACTCGATGGGAACGAAACCTTGGTCATTGCTGATGGAGCACTTGGCAGAATGCGAATCTTTGTCCACTGTGGGAATCCAACGTTGAAGCAGTGCAACCTTCTGCAGTCCCATGTCCAGATGGAACCAGACTTGGCCCAGTTCCCAAAGTCCGTCCTCGTGGTGGAAGACCACCACGTCGTTGCAGTGAATGGTGCCACCCCTGGCGAGCTTGGCACTGGAAGCAACCATGGCTTCATTTGCTGGGCCATCCAGGAAGTGGCGGAGGAGCTGCAGCTGTTTTTTCGTGGGTTTGTGGGGCTTCACCAAGTGGCAAGATTCGGGAAACAGACCTGGTTCCCTCAGAG